AATAAGTGGTAGACGTCATTTAGGTTCTTGCAAACGACTCTGAGCGGATTGAACAGCTCATAATTAAATTTACACTGATTAAGCTTAACCAAGATAAAGTGCCTGGAGAAGCGGTTAGGACGAGTCAATAGCACCATTTATTACTTTAATTAGAAAGGAAACGCCAAGAACAAATCTACGTTTCTCCAGAGACGGCAGGGACAGCAGAAGCAACCTATTTTCATACGGAGGAAGAGAGGCAATCGGATCCCAACCCAAATTTCTAAGGGCAAACAGCAAGAATTGCTTTTGAACTGATTCAATTGAATCTACGTAGCACCTATATGAAGGAGACCACACAACTGAGGCATACTCGAGTATGGGTCTAACCAAACACATGTACAGCCTTTTCGTAATGTAGGGATCATCAAGCTCTTTGGACCACCTTTTTATAAAACCAAGCGCGGACCTAGCTTTGCTAATCGAGAGCTCAATATGCAAGTTAAAACGTAACCTATGGTCAAATAGGACGCCTAAATCTGTAATCGAATCGACGTCCTCCAACTTATGCGACTCTATGAAATACTGAGTAATGAATGACTTTCTTCTTGAGAATGAAAGCTTCTTACATTACTCAGATTTAGTTTCAGGAGATTCAAAGAGCACCATGCAACAAAATTATCCAAATCACCTTGAAGCTGATGTGATTGCGATTCAACAGAGAAGGAAGAAAACAGTTTCACATCATCAGCATACATTAAGATCTGGCTGGAATTAACCACCGATGGGAGATCGTTAATGTATAAACTAAATAAAATTGAACCTAAGTGACTTCCTTGAGGTACGCCAGACATAACGGGGAATTCATCCGAGCTAATGGAGTTAAACAAAACTCTGAAGGATCTATTGTGCAGATAAGAGCTTATCCTTTTCACTAAGTAGGGTGGGAAACCAGAGGCTTGGAGTTTAAAGATAAGTAGTCTATGGTTAACCATATCAAATGCTTTGCTTAAATCAGTGTAAATAACATCTGTGCGAGAGCCACTAGAAAAAGCCTTGAAAACATGACAGGTAAACTCTAACAAGTTGGTGACTGTAGATCGCCCTTTCCGAAAGCCATGCTGGTGCGGAGAAATATACGAATTAATGGCAAAGGCCAAATGCTGAGTCACAATACGCTCGAACAACTTGGGCAAGACACTCAACTTGGCTATGCCTCTGTAGTTCTCAACAAATTGTCTACTTCCACTCTTGTGGATAGGAATAAGGAAACTACTCTTCCAACATGAAGGGAAAACACCTGAACACAAGGACATGTTAAAAATCTTTGAGATCACACCACACAACTCGACAGCGCAAGATTTAAGTACACATGATGGAATTCCATCAGGTCCAGGCGAACAACTGTATTTTAGAGAACTCAACCCCTTGAAAACATCATCTTCCGAAATAACCAGGTTAGGTATTGAAACCGAGTTAGTTATAGGATATGGGTAGTTTGCTGATAAATCGAAATTAGCAATCGAAAAGTTTCGTCGGAAATACTCAGCAAATAGATTTGAGATTTCAAAATCATCCGAGGAACCAGAGCCATTAAAAGAAACATGAGAGGGATATGTGGAAATTTTTCTTTTAGAGTTAACAAATTTAAAGAAGAATTTAGGATTAGCAAACAGAGAGGATTTAATGAACTGAAGGTATCTGCAGTAATAATGATGGTTGAGGGAGTTAAATCTATGCCTCGCTACCGAGTAAGCGACATAGTCGAGCGCAGAGCCACTTTTCGAATATTTTTGGAATAGCGAGTTTTTTCTATTCTTGTGATATTTAATTGTCTTATTAAACCACGGGGGACATCTGCTTCGAGGTCGACAATGCTTGATCGGAACAGATGCAGCAATAGCTAGATTTAATGTATTGTAGAACGATGGCATTAAGCTTTCAATACTACCGGTTGAGAAATCAAGCGTCAGATGTGAAAGACGATGTTTTAGTAATACAATATTGATTTTATGAAAATCATAATAATTATTTAAAAAAGTTTGAGTTGGCACATTAAGGCATTTCAACAAACCATCATTAATATGATGAAAGGAAATGCATATTGATGGATGATAAGGGTCCTCAGGTAAACTAAAAGGTGGACAACGATTTACGTAAATCTCGGGAAAATTGGCAAAGCAGAGATCAAGCAGTCTACCATTACAATTAGGGGTATGATTATACTGACCCAAATTATGATCAAACAATTCATTAAAGAACACAACAGCCCTATCAGACGTTGAAGTAGAAACCAAACAGCGAGAATTATCAGTGTTACACCAAGTGACTTGAGGCAAATTGAAGTCACCCAATGCAACGACCAAATCGGTGGGTCTAGACCGCTTGGCCACTTCACAAATGACGGCAGCGTGTTTCCTGTAAATGGAGATATCAGAATTTGGGGGAATATAGGAGCAAGTTATAAATAGATGTTTATCAGGCATATTCGCACGAATAGCGATAAATTCAACGTCAGGAGAAGTGAGAAATTCGATTAAATTGGACGGGACTGACGCAGATATGGCAATTAATACACCACCATCAATGCGATTTACTCGATCATTTCTAAACACTTGGAAAGAATTATGAAAAAGTTCCGACGAATGTAGATCGGGTTTTAGCCAGTAAAGGCCAAACAGAAAAATTCCGTGCTCACTGAATTTAGGAAAGTGGAACGAATTTTCGAATTTAGGCCCCTAACATTTTGATAAATGAGAGATAGTGGGCCTGAAGAAACAATTAGTTTTTTGAAGGCGACAAGACTATTGCCTTGGTATTACGGGGACGATCTCGAGGGATAAATTCCTTAATTAAGGATCCTACCGGCCACAGTGATTTGTTTAACAACATATCACTGTTTTCAGTCGGAACTAATATTTTAAAAGAGGAGATTGCCCTAGCTTGAGAAGGAGCCATTTTGAAGATGCTAACACGCTTTAAGTTGACTGATGGGACTTTCGTCGCCAGATAACCTTTTATGTTATCCACCGATGTTTCAGGTGCCAGTCTTGACACAAATATTGCTTTTCTGGGAGGAACTGCCGTCAAGCAAATGTCATTATTTGGAACAGGAGGGGGGTTCACAGTAGGAGAGTTTCGAGTTGGGGAAAATATAGATGGGGTTATCGCCCTTGTACCGGCAGCTTGTGAGACTTGCCCAGTCTGGTGACCAGCATTCACACGCGAACAGCCAGGAGGAGAGGATGACTTATTTTTCTCTTCATTACTTTTAGGCGATGGCACTTGATTAGAGTGAGTGGCGGCTCTGGGCGGACATACCCTTGCCACTTCAGCGTAGCTTAAAACCGATGGACTTGCCGGTTTGTTTGTAACTGTTTTGCTACCAACCGACTCAGCAATATCGGAAACATTACTATTCATTTTAGAGTTAGAGGGAGCGGTAACTTGTACCAACGAATTAGATTTGGAGAAAGCCAGAGGTGACGTCCCACACGCTACGCTACGAGTAGAAGATGAGTGTCCAATAAAGCGACACTCATCAAACCTAGACTTAATGAGCTCAAACTTTTCCCACAAGGACCCGAGATTTCTACTCAATTCCGAGAAACCATAACGGATCTCCGTGAAAAGTTTATAAAAGTCAATGTCCCGCTGCCTACAGTCAGGACATGACCATCTTAAGCCTTTAGCCGGATCAGCGACTGCGTCAGCAGCACGGCCGAGAATACCGGCACACTTTGCGTGACCAAAGCGCTCGCAGAGCCAACAAGAAACGAATCTATCAGAATCCGGGCCTGATTTCGCCCGACAAGGTGTATATAAACACTCCATGTCCTGTCAAAAAGACAATTGTTGATTATGGAGAACAGACACGCAAATCACTAAAAAAAAATCCTGAACATAAAAATTTATCAACTAATTTGTGCAAAACTTCTCTGTTAGGTTGACACTGTAATGAGAGATCACTAGCAACACAAACTCCAAACAGTAAAAAAATAACAGAGAAAAAGAGAGAAAACAAAAAAAAAAAAGAGAGATTTTTATCAGAGCTCAAAATTTTTGTTTGCAAAAATCAAATGAATCAAATGAAAGCGTAAAAGAAAAATATTTCTTTTACTTTGAATTCACTCACTTTCTTCTCAAAGAATACTATAAAATCACACACTAAGGCAGAATAGCCACGAAATTCAACAAAAAAATTAAAATTTTAATTGCCGACACAAAAAATACACGACTATACCGCGCGACAAAGTTGCCAGACTTGAATGCAATAATATATTTATGAGACTAAATAAATTAAAGCATGGGGCGCCAAAGATTTTAATGGTGGTGGGTATGCGAGATTCGGTCCCAGCCGAATATAACTTTCTTACTTGTTCTTTTCTTAATTTTCTCATTTATACGTTGTTTGCATATTTAACATTTGCAAAATTTACAACATAAAAATGTAATCGATCCTTACCTTGCCATTAATATTGTTTAAAGGACTTGCAGCAGCAACAGCAGTAATATTACCATTTTGCGTAATTAATGCTGGCGGAGATTTTGTCATAGGTATGGGCGATGCAGATACAGCAACAATTGTATTATTTCCCGTTTGACATAACGTAGTAGTAGTGCTATTAGCGGCTGTCAATAATTGAGAGAAATTGCCTGAGAAATGTATGCCATTTGCGGAATTTGTTGCGTTAGGAGATGTTACGGTTGTTGCTGCCACCAACAACGGTGTAACACTGGTTGCTTCTATAATTAATAGCGGAAAATATATACATATATACATATATATATAGTATAATAGTATGTATGTATGTATATAGTATGATAGATAGAGCATGATTATAAAATAAATTTTTTTTAAGTCATTGTAACGAATTTATAACCGACCTTTCAGAAAGATACTATTGGTGATATTTGATATATGATGGCTGCTATTGACGGTAATGTTGCTGCTGATGTTGTTGCTGTTGTTGTTGGTGCTGTTATTGTTATTATTATTGTTGTTATTATTATTATTATTATTATTGTTATTATTATTGTTGTTGCTATTCGGTGGTGTGTTGACAAACGTTAATTTACCATTTGCATGATAAAATGCAGTAGCTACAGAAGATGTTTTAATGCCATTTCTTGGTAGTATATTCAATTCAGCACCGCCCGGTAGACGACACAGTTCATTAATTGAACCATTACCAACTCCTCCGCCTCCTGTTGTGCCACTTAAGACAAGTTTTTGCATTTGACCACCAACAATACTGGTTTTAGTTTTTTTACCATTATTAATGCCATTGTTTAATTCATCTTGGGATGCGTTCGTACTGCTGTTGTTGAAAACTTTTAGAAATTTTGCAGGTTGCTCTCCATCTTCAGTTAACAGCTGCTTTTGCATGGCGTGGCCACCGGAATTCTCCATTAAACCATTTGAACAACTTAGGCTTAAGCTTTTCTTGCGACCATTATGACCTATCGGGGTAGTATTCGGAGGAGTAGTGGCCACCGCTATAGAATAAGTAATACACACATATGCATATATATATATATATATATAAAATGATTTGAATGTTTTTTCTCTGTTTTAATTTTTATAAAATGTTAAGAGTATGGTATGGTATGGTATGGTTACGGTATGGCATAGTTTGGTTTAGTGTACATATGTAAAACCAATTTTTCAACTCAAATTCTTGCCAAGTTCTCAATGGAATTATTTGGATAAGGCATGGTAAGTGATAAAGATTAGTAAAGAAGAGTTTGGCTTCGCTATTAATTTTGATGTTGGTGGTGGTTAAGCGGATAGATCTGCACAGACGTATGAATTTCATTTATTATGATCTTAATTCCAATGAATCTGATGTTTTTTTTTTTTTATTATTACTATTATCGTCATCATTTTTTCGTATATACAGTGTTTGCTTAATTTCGTAGGCTTTCACGTTAATAACGTTAATATCATTAAATACAAATTTCGATAATACGAAATGTTTTTTTTTTTCCCAATATTTTTTTCTCTTCATAACGGTCCGGACAGTATGCCTTAGTCTGCAGAACAACAAGAGTTAGTGTGTATGTCGCATATATATCATTTGTGACCGAGTTAGCTTTCACAATCATTTCAGTGCCCCAGGTTAGCAAGGATGTAACTATACTAAATGGCAACCACGTCAGGCTTGTAACATTGTTGCTAATTTCTAATTAAAAAGAGAAAAAAAAATGAGTGTCAAAATACGCTCTAGGTTAAAAGTTTATGGAAGCTGTGGAAAAATGTATGCAACATACAGAAGGACTGGAGATAGATGCACCTTTTATTATACCAATCGATTCAAAATCACTCTATGACTTTGTCTATCTGTCGTCTTCGTTCTATTCTGTTCAACCTAAAGGCCGGCCGCAATTTTTGATATATTTCGATGGAATTTCTCAAAAATTTCCCATATAACGCCTAACTTTGAAATCCCGTTATATGAATAATTGTATGGTGGCGTAGCGTGAGTGGTGGCTCACCATAGTCTTGTTACTTGATGACAAGTAAATAAGGCATCTAACAACGAAGATAGCGATAAACAAAACATTGGTTTTGGTATAAGGTATAACATATCTGCAGACTATCACATTCCAAATTTCGAAAATTTTGCTAATTTTGGTAATTTCTTCTATAATTAAATAGTGCTTTTTAGAGATATATTAAAACCAAGAAAGGAATCTAAACATGGTTGATATATGCAGGCACAACAGATGAACGTCGTGCATATCGCTCAATTGAGATTAGGTTACAATACCAGAAACGATTGAAAAAATATCAATTATATAATATTGGGCAGCACAAAAATTGAAAGTGCCGGAGCTAGCTACGGCCAGGAACAATTTGTATACTTTTCTGTTTAATATTTTGGCGGAAAAATTGCATGCAAAAAAACTTTATCCAAAATTAATGCGGAGTTCGTTAACAATGTGATGCCAAAATTGTTGTAATCGTCGTGTAATCGCTTGAATTAATTTAGATAACTGTTAAAACCAGCCTGCCTATATGACTATCTTCGGTATCACGTAATCACGGATGGAAATAATCTTTGCGGAATCGAAATGCACAGAGGCCGTCAAGAGATGCAACATGGCATAATCCACGACGATTGTTTGAAAAATGTCATTGGATTATTGATATTGGATCGATTGAATAACAAAACCAAGAAGAAATGCATGCATTCGCCAAGAAAAAGTCCTCTTTCATCACCACAACGCGTGAGTTTATTCATCGAATAAAGTTATATGAATCGGTTTATGAGTACCTTCGATAATCAACGTATTTTCCCGAAAAATTTCCGTTTTTTGTTGTTAGATGCCTTGCACACATTCGTCACATTCGTATTAATTAAAGGGCAATAAAAGGCAAAGAAACATTAAACATTGATTCTGTTGTGCGCGGTAGAATTTTCGAAAAAGCCGATAAACCTAAATTTAGTCGGACTAAATTAATTATAATGATAATAATAATAGAATATTTTAATTTATTTAATTTTCTTGTCAGAAATGTGAAATGTTTTCGAATTTATAAACAATACATTATCGTGATCGATAATAAGGTAAGCTTTGCTTATAAAATGGAAAATTTTTATTTATGTAATTGCAATTTCATCAACTATAGAACGGTCAGAAATATCTCTTTCCCCAAGGGTCTTGAATATTTTCTCCGAAACGGTGTCGTCGAAGTGATTTGTTAAATTTATTGAACAGCAAGGAGTCGTACGACGACGAAATTAGCTGATAACGATGTTTGTGGGGCAATAAATCACTACTCTGTAGATGTCAAGGCGAGATTTTTTTTTTCTCCAAAGCTTTGCCTACTTTATTATCTATTAAGAATCGAAAGCTAGAAGAATAGATATTATCAACCAACCAACCCACCCACCTATCCACACACACACACACACAGGCATACACAATGTAGAAAATTTCATAGAAATATCTCAAAAATTAGGACGTGTAGATTCAACACAACAAAATAAGACGGGCAGAGAGATAGACAGATAAGCTTGGATTGATCCAGAATCATTTTCTCGGTGTAATAAAATAATATGAATTCATTTTTTTGATATAATAAGAAAGTGGGTCAGTCTCAAGTCCTTCCGGATGTTGCATACATCCAATGCAGAGAACGTATCACACATGTTTTAGATATATTACTTGCGCTGGTCGAAGTCGTTTTTGCTAATCCAGAAAATGCCAATTCTAATTTAATTCCCAATTTTAATTTAAGAGGTAGTAATGAATGCAGTTATAGTTGCGGAAATCAAACCGCTTCTCAAGCCCACGCTTTTAAAAGATCCTTTAGAAAAGACTAAAAAGCAATGCTTATGGATGCAAATTCTGCCATTTGAAATATCAAACATCAAATATCTATTAAATGCTGTGCCTTATTTAGATAAAGATGTCAGGTTTACTTTTAAATGAATGCGTCGCCCCTCAAGCTTGCTGAACCATTTTGCACTGTCTGGCCGAAATGTAACTAGTGACGAATTCTCAATTCACAAGTTCTTCTCTGCTTTCAAGAAGCAAACAACTGTCGCAGGATGTTTACGAGTGCGAAATGTTGGAAAAGATAAAAAGGATAACCTGATCCGACATTGTAAATGAGATGAGTACGTTACCATAATTTGCGAATCATTAGGATATAAAAAGATGTTATTGCTTAGTTTTAAACACAAAAGTGTGAAAATAGAAGACAATCTCAAGAGTGTCCTTGAGAAATAGTTTCCTTTTTACAACAAAGACATGTATGGAATTGATATGCCCAGTTAATTGGCTAGAAAATGTATCGTTAAAGTGGCATCCCGCAAGTGATTCCGTCACGCGGAGACAACTGACATAAACGTATCTTGCGAGAATTTTTTCTTTGAACTCACTGCTTCAACAGTTAAAGAATTGTATAGTGACCACATAACGGTAAACAAAATAGCAGTTTCAATTTATTGTCTTATATACGAAATTTTACTAAACTGCGTTTTGCAAGAAAATTAGGCCTAAATATATTTGCCTTAAATGCAACAAGTAGATAAGCGGAAAGTGTACATCCAAGATACAGGTAGATATGTAGAAAATGTACTAAGAACGATAGTTAATACAGGCCGCCTTAAGGTTTTGAAAAATATAAGATAAAATAAAGAAAAGACAATGCATTTTAATATAACCGTGAAAGGAACAGATTTCCGCAAAACACAAGAAGCTGTATATAGTGAACGTCCATGAAGCCGCAAGTCGGCAAATCCGCAAGAAACAAATATAAAATAAGATATATATATTTACTTCGGAACGATTATTAGATCGTATACGCAAATGGTTCTGCGAAATGCCTGGGTTAGTAGTTTCTCGGAAATATCTTTCACGGGAGGAAAAATCAAAAATGATCAGTTCAATTGACGGATTTCTCCACAAAAATCTGCATACAATGTTTGGCAATAATAAAATGGACGTATTCCAGAAAAAATTAACGCGTACATATACAATCGCTGTATTATATCATTGAAAAGCAATATGTAATGCTTGAAGTATATAACTTGCATATGCAGAATTTTGTAAACATAAAACCAAATATCCGCCAAATGGACGGGTAATGCAAATCTAATGTTAAATGAAAATATTTTCCATATTTTCCGATCACAGTAGTATGTTCTTTAATATGTAGCATAATATCTGATTTTATCAATTTCAAGATATAAAAAAGGAAGGTTTCATTTCACTTAACCGAACTTTAAATATTCGATATTTGATAGCGTTGCTTCGCTTGGCTGATTTCTTTATTTGATTTAAATATCTTTTTGACGTTTTGGTTACACTCCATATATTATAGAATTGGGATGAAGAATTCGACAAAAAACTATACGGAATTCATACACAATTTCCAATTTCAACACAGGCTACACTTTCGTAAAAGACACGAAAACAAGTTGCTACATGGTTTGCGTCATTCTAGGCAGAATTATTTTTCAATTCTGCCTTACAGAGATGACCAAAAAATGTGTCGACATTCAGGTTTATTTAATTCCTTGCTATCGTGTGTGTGAGTCTTTGTAGGCATATATTGCCAATTGTTAAAAATTTGGAGTTTATTAAAGGATAAGTGTATTCAGTCATAAATGTTGAACACAGTTTTCGCGGCTAAGGCAATTCTAACCATAGAAAGCCGTAGGGACGAACATTCTAAGTATTACACAAATGGAAAGCCAATATTGATTCCTAGGTGATTTTTAGGTGTTGTTGTTTTATCTACAAATTAGTTGGGTTTTTGCCGACAGTAATGTTCTTATTTATTTTTAAATAATTTTTAATTACTCACCATTATTGGTATTGTTGGTTGTTGTCACAATCATGGATGCTGCTGTTGTAGTGGTTGTACCGGATGTGCCAGTTATTGTGGTACCAAGGGCGCCGACAGTCGCTTGAAATTTCAAGCCATTCGGAATGTTGACAGTTACGTTGCGACTATTGCTAATCACCCCATTGATAGGCGGTGACGAGGAGATCAAAGACGAAGATGAAGATACACCACTCGACGAAGACGGCGACGGTGAAGGAGTAGATGGCGTCGGAGAGCCACGTGTCACCGATGTTGCTGATATATTTTTGGCGGTCAACGATAAAGGCATATTACCACCATTGCCAGCACTGCCAAATGTTATTAAAGCCGTTGGACTACCCATAGGACTGATATGGGTTGTATTTGTGGGAATTGTTATGGCTTGAATAGCGGCGGCAGCAGTCGCATTCTTGCGATAATTATGCAAAACGTTATTATTATTATTATTATTGTTATTAATTGGTGATGAAGTTGCGCTATTATTGGAATTGTTCATAATATTTACTGTTGAATTGTTGTTGCTGTTGTTAGTTTTATTTATCACAGGCGATATTGCGGTCGGTATAGCAGTTTGCAACTATATACATATATACATATACATATATATATATATATATATATGTATATATATATATATATTCGCACATATATATATATATACATATAAATATATATATACATACATATATATATATATATATATATACATAAATATTTTCAGAAAGCAGCAGCAGTTGAGATCACAGTTCATTTATGTTCGTTCATATATATAAAGTACAAGAGAGAGGGGCACAGAGAAAGTGTTGAAAACACAGTTAGATTAGAGAGTATATGTTATTTGAAAAATACTTCTTGATTTTACTTTTATGATGTGTGTGGGTGTGTATTTGGGAGGAGATCAAGTGCTAACATTCAATTTTTTTTAGCATTATAAAAAACAATTGATTTTTACTTACACCAGCGCCAACTGGTGATGACATTGTGTTACTGCTGCTGCTGCTGTTGCTGCTGCCATTACTGCCGCCACTTGAAAGCGAACTAGATGAACTATATAAAGTACTACCACGACCCGATGACAGTGAAATTGTCTCATTTAGATTTTCTGAAAATGCAAAATAATTACAATATATATATATGTATATATATCTGTATCTGTATACATGTATATAAATTTTCATAATTAGAAAAGTAGCAAGAAATTGTGGATCGATCATTCTCAACTTGTCATCCCGTAGAGTCCTTGTCGACATTTACAATTTAATTGAATTTGAACAATATCAGTTGTTTTTCCGACTGCTGATTTACTTCTTAGAAATGTGATTTTTTTTTTTTTTTTTTATTAAAATGATTCTTGAAAGTACCTATTAATATAACTGTAAATCGTTAAAGGTAAGAGAGCGAAAATCCGCGCATTAAAACTCCCATCAGTTATTCCGATAACCGCGGAATTAATTCTATACAAAGTGATTGCTTAAAAGGCAACTTTGACACGACTATTGAAAGGAAGGAGTCAGAGAGGCAAACGAATAGAAAAAGATGTAACAACAAAACAAAAGTA